GAAGCATGTTGTCTTGTTTTAACGTGCCTAAGGCTGAGCAATCAGCAATTATGTGTAGGTGTGTGAGATGGTTCCAATAACTAGCATGCGAATTTCTAGACAAGGTTGAGTGATCATTTCGATTTATTAGTAGCACAGATGAGAAGCAAAAGTAACTTAGCTTTTGTTGCCTCAAAGTTTCAAAAAACGAACCTGCTTCTGCCTTTGGAATCTTTCTTTCTTGAACCAACACTCTGACCACGTGGCGTTACCGGCACTGATTCTAGGTTGCTTATGAGCAGATTAATCGATTGCCGAGTTTCGTCAATAAAGAGTGTTTCCATATCCTTCACAACAAATTTCGGCATTAATTTTTTCATCTGCAATATGTCTCGTATATGAGATGCAAAATATAACTACTATGTCGTCATAAAAGTGCTGGACGATGTTATAACCTACTGAAGAAGCGTGAAAAGATGTTGATCAAAATAAATAAATTTTTTTTCCGCATACCATCAGTAAGATTTATATGATTTTATATAGCATGCGCTGAACATATGTGAGACAGTACGATACACATGCCTACTAAAAAAATCTAAAGACATACCCTTGACATATCGCGTAGTGCTTCCTCCCTGGTTGCAACTTCACGTCGAATAGCCGCTGCTTGTTCATCCGGATTATCCAACTGACAAATTCGCGCGGTTATGTATGGTTGCATCTTGAGACTTGCAGAACTAATTTTTATGTTACGTATTATGACTATGTGACATTTTGTGGCAAGGACAGAGGGTGAAGGGTTGGAAAGGAAGGAGGAGCGCACCTACTGTTTCAATAAACACTATGATAAATTTTTCAAGAAAACATCATTCAAAATTTCCATTTACTAATCGCTAATGGTAAGTTTCTTGTTATCGAAATGTGACATTTAAAATCCACATAGCAATGCAAATCAGGGTTTCCGGTGCGACCATGCATTTTTGCGCTAAAGTTAAAGCCCTCAGATCGTCAATAATATGAGTGTTTGTTACATGAGAAATCATGTGTGCGTGAACACTAATTTCGAGCTACTTAGATGGCACGTAGGCTAACAACATGCACTTAAAATTCCAGCTTCCTGGCTTCTGCGGTTTCTAAGTTGAATGTGGGTGACAAAAATTCGAACAGACACACAAGCGTACAGCCTCTTGACAGTATGCGTTTTGCATTTGCATAAACAAGCAAAAACGCACAAAAAGTAATAGCTTGTATGCCCGAAGAAATTCTGAAATTTTTGACCAGCTGTTTTTCAAAAAAAAAAAAAATCGTGGCTATGCCACTTGCTGGATGTTGCATGTTAAGTCATCTTTTTCAACGCGAGAGAAACTGGGAAATAAAAAATTTACTTGCAGCGCATTGAATATTATTTGGTGTTCAAACTTCTTCACCGATAAAACCTGCTGGAAAATGTCGTACAGCTGATCTTTGAGAAGCGTTAAATCCGCATTCGACTGATTCACTCCACGTAAACGACCTCTGAAAATATTAAAAACATCTACACGATAAGGTGGCAATTCGAACGTAAAATTGCTGTGTTTCATTCAGCTCTAACCGCGCGCTGAAGAACAAAGGTTTGTTGCTGGGAAACGTTAAAATTTGAGGGACAGAGATACCGAACTAATAACGGAGAGTTCCATTTGCAAAAAATAGATTAGACAGTACAAGACAAATTCTAGCTGCAGTGACGCCAAGTGGTAGAAAACTGCAAATTAACGGAGTGATGCAAAGTGCTACTGTGACTGTCATCAGTTTGGAGGCAGACCGGTGCAGGAAACCAGGATAACGTCACACTGCAAGTAGAGATGGTCGGTAAAATGTCACTGCGATCACGCAAGAAAGTAAAACCTGGCAAAAACGAATAATGCACGCCCAGTTTGCAGCTTGGTTGGTATCGCTTGTTAATGAACAGTACCGACGAGAAACTGAACAACTACTCTGGGCGCCTTTGAAGAATTAGCGCATATACATCAAAATAGCGCTGCGTACTAAACAAAGACGAGAAGATCAGCGCTGCAGAGCCTAAAAAATCTCAACTAGCATGTTGCTGCTACCGCAAAATACCAGCAACACAGGATCTCATAACGACTGGCTGAGTGACCTTTGTAATCTTGATAATATGGCCTGATGAGCTGAAACGTCTTAATTTATATAGTCACTCATTTCATAATTGGTGTATTTGTGTTTTTGCGCACTTTGATATGCCCTGATTCTGTTATGGTTGGAAATTATGATTACCAGTATTTTCAAAGTAGGTTTTCAGCATTACTAATCGAATGAAGAAAAATGCAAGAAGAACCTCGCTTGCCTCGATTGAACAGCATCTTCGTCTCCGCGTATAATCGTGTCAAATTTGGCTAACCAGTTATTAAGTAGTGTTTCTTTCGATACACCATCCAGCTCCGGCAAACTCCGAATCCTTTTCTCTGTATTGCAACGGAAAACCTGGAAGAAAGTGGCGAGGAGAAGCATGTTGTTATCAGATATAATAACTAAAGCGTGATTACGGCAAGACGCTTTCTTACAGTGCATTTTTACGCGTTTTTACATATTTATACAAATGGAAAAACGCCTACTGGAAAGAGGTTGTCCGTGTGTGTGTGTCTCTGTATATATATATATATATATATATATACATATATATATGTATATAATGTTTATGTGGTTATGTATGTTCGGTTTTTTGTCGCCCAAAAGCTACGAATCGGCGTCTCTACACTCATGCGCATGCGGTAGATCGACAGACTGATAGTTCTTTACCGACAAGATTCCGAGAACTGTAAGCAAGTCGCTCCGTAGAGCCCTCTCAGTAGCTTTTGCATTCGCACATGACTCTAACGAATATCTGTTCTACTGCACTGGGTGGTTTAAAACGCATACCAACTACCAAAAAAGTAAGCTTACCTCTCTAAAGTCATATTGAGAAAAACCGCCAGCCTGAACAACTTTTTGCACTCGTTCAGATCTCAGAAAAATCTGAAAATTTACTGTTTAAATAAAATTCGCCACATCTGCCATGAACACTAAATCGCATATGTAAGAATCAAAACGATTTCTCACCTTCAATGAGAGGCAGACAGCTGGAGGACAGAATACGCCAAAAGCAAGCATGCGCTGGCAAAGCTGTCGATGCCGCTCTTTTCCGAGAGCTGCTTAGAAACAGGCAGAGCGCGTTTTGACTGCCAGTACCAAATTATCTTAAGAAAAACCCAGACTGGAACGCACCGGGCTGGCCCATGCGATCATGCGTTTTTGCACCGGATTTTAATTACTCAGGTCATCAACTGTATGAATGGCTGTTGCTTTACACCTACCTTTTGCGGTCACTAGCATTAATCACCATAAATTTTGCAAAGTAAAT